TCACTCAGCAACTTGCTGTAGGTGATATTTCGGAGCAGGTCATGCGTGGTGATACGAGCGAGGAATAAGCGAGGGACGGCGCCATAATCGTGAAGCCATTTGCTGATTCTGCTGACTTTGATGGTGTTGCTGATGGAAAGGATGACGATCCATTTTGGGTAGCACGAGTATGACTCATGGTCGGGGCGACGGTGTTCATCAGTTCCCAGCATAATCCATTTCCGGAGCAACCAGCCCGGTTAGTTACCGTGGCAGTACTGTGTGTGAGCTCCATGGTATACAGTACACACTGTTAGACATATGTCCGTACGTTAAGAGAAGCAAAAGAGTTCAATTCGACAGGACATCGTTTTCGCAAATAGCTGTAGCACGAGGCCAAAACAAGCATGTTGACTGGAGATGTTGAGACAGAATTATCAAAGCACGGAGAAAAGTGGGAGACGGAGAGTGAGATTAAAGATGAAAATAAGTAATGAGATTGAGCAAGGAAGAGCGGTCACCTCGCTGCCTTACTTCATCTAGCTGGACAACTTATTGCTTGTGATACTGGATATTTGTACATCACCTGATTTGCAATACCCTGCTATTCCTTTGCGTTATCTGGGTGCGAATAGCTGCCATAAGATGCGAAGACCGCTGAAAGTCATTTACACCCACCGTGCATGACTCCCGCTGAACTAGGGCAATGAATCACTACCCGCCTTATGCGCATAGAATGGGCACTAAGCAGTGTCTTGGTCCCCAATGCCAGGCGTTTGGCCCATTTCCCCTGTAGCAAAATCCCGTACATCATTGAGCACGGCACTGACCCCCATGCTCTGGTCTGGTCGCACATAAGAGTCGATAGTGAGTCTTTCTCCGTTCAAAATAGCCATCACGGCTTCAAATGGCAAGGAGACCGGAGTTTGGGGATATTTGTCTGTCAACGAGTGGTGACAAATGTCTCTGGTAAGGCCACTGTCATCCGACTGTTGGTAGGATAAGGATACATCGGCGTCAAGACCGATGTATGATGACGATTGCCGGAAGTCCCTTGGAGTGTCCGTCCCCTTTTTGCTAGGGAGGTCATGACCGGGACCCGAGCGAGAGCTCCTTTCCAAGTTTCTGGCCCGCGATTCATCGGAGTCGTCGTAGGCTGTTGGCTGGTCGTCGTCCAGATTGATGTCGCTGCTCGGAGTCTTGTTGATCTTGACCCTCCGAGGTTCCAATAAGCCGCCACATTGGAGAAAATGATCCATTTTCTCAAGAAACGTGACGTACTTGGAGGCCATGCTGGAGAAAGGTGCAAGCTTGATCAATGCTTGGAGAGCGATGCTGACGATTCCTGTCTGCACTCTCTGCCGTTCCTCGCTTTCATGCTTGCTGGCCATATGACTCTGAGTATCCATGCGAGGATAGTGCCATGCGTAAGTTTCCACAAAGGCTGCTTGCCAGATCGCGAACATGACTAGTGGCGAATGAGGGAGTCTATCTCGGCACAACGATACGAGGTCGATGATTTCCCTGCCAGCCTTGAAAACCTGCTCCGCGCTTCGCTCCCAAAAGCTCTCTAGAACAGTTCTGGTGTTAGAGACGAACTCACCCAGAGGGCCAGTCGGCTTAGAACACTTGATGGCGATGAACGGAATGCATTCGCGATGCAGTATAATTTTGCAGAGAGCACCCAGCATGTGGAGTGATATGTACACGCTGTCGTTGTGTCCCCAAAAGTTCGCGCTGGACCAGGTGAAATCTTCTGGAAGATGTTTGTAGAAATCATCTACTCTTTTACATAGCTGGTAGAAAGTCGACTCTTGGTTCCACGGCGGCAGCGGTTCCTCAAGGCGGCCGCCCTCGACACTGTATTTGGTGATATCGCCCCAGACATCAGCCAGTTGTACGAATCGTCTCAAGACGCTGTCACTGATTGGTGGCTCCATGCCATGTCCCATCTGCCGTAAGAATCCGGTGTAGACAACGCGGCCGTGGTCGAAGGCATGCTCGGTGCATGGCAGCTGGATTTGAAGATCGTCGGACCGAACCATAGAAACCCGATCAGATCCGCAGGACAGAAGACGATCCATTATCAAGCAGCTGAACATAGTACGGCGCCTGATTTCCCGGTCTATCCAATGGTCTGAGGATAGTTTAGCCGATTTACTCGATCGAGGAGACAGCGCCAGAATTCTCTTGCCGCCCAGGGGCTTGTCTCCAGACCCCAGTTTCAAGCCTTGAGCCATCCGTATGGCAACGCCAACATACATCCATGCAGCCAGGCCGCCATTCGGCTGACTCCATTTGTACAAGCTGAGCATGAGAATAGCTTGAACACGGACGACGGTAGCTGATGTCAGAGCTGATTCAAGTTCCCCCAGTGCCTTTGTAAGAGCATTTGCGAAGTACTCTGATGCCATTGATGGCTGCGGACTGGGTAGAGCACCGCGAGATCTTGGCCCCGCGATCTTGATGTGTGTGATGTGTGCCACACATTTGATCAAGACGGGATGAAATCTTGCAGTGAGAGTCAGAATGCCCAGCAGAATCAAATTTGATTCGGTCGACAGATTCTTGCTGTCTTTGTCGTGAATGATGCCCTTGAGAGTTGGGAGATGCAAAAACGGGAGTTCGGTAGCGAAGTGCAGCTTAAATATGTCGAAGAGTTGATGCCACAAGCCGACGGTAAGATAGGGTGCCGGAAGGACTTCCTGAGCAAGTGCCGCAGGAGTCCTTTCATTAGAGGACGTTGCATCTTCGAGCTTCTTCACTCGCTTCCGATCATGCCCGACCTCCCTTACCTGCCTCAGCGCAGTCGGCGGCTTTGATTGTTTCGCCGGAAGAGGCGTTGGATCGGGAAACTCGCACTTATGTCCTGCCTTGATGCATGTGTCGCAAGGTGATCCAGTGTTGTCGTTGTCGCATTTGGTTTTGGATTTCCTACATCTCAAACAAGCTATGCTAGATCTCATCGGCGGCTGCATAGCTCTAGAGGGTCTTTTGGCACTTGAGCCTTCCGCCGAGATCGACTTCAAGTCATCGCCGTCGGGCACGAGGTAACTCTGAGGCATGGCTCCTCCCAGAGCTTGCTTGCCTGCCGACTTTGCTACGGCGAGAATTGTGGAGGCATCCTCCTGTGAGGCAAAGGGTTTGTAACATCTTCCCTCTGACTTGGACTGAGTAGGGAGCGCTTCGGGTGCGTCATCGGAGTCCGGAGCAGGAGAGAGCAAAGACTGAATGCGAAGTTGGGAAGAAATTGTGACGGTTCGGGTCTGTTATGGACCCGTGGAGCCAGCAAGGGGAGCAGGCAACTGGGCGCATGAATGATAGGGAGGGTAAGATACGCAGAGCTGGAGGGTGATGGTCAGGCCACTATCTGTCGAGGCAAAGCTCAAAGTACTTCAGGGAGCACAGTCGAGTGGACACTGGCTGTTGACAGATCTCAACCGATAGGTGTTAGCTTCGGGTGATACACGATGAGTTTCTAAGAGAGATTAGAATTGCCAGATAGCCAAAGGACCTATAGCTGAACAAACGACTTCTTTCTGCTTTCTGGAGATGAAGAGCACAAGCTCTAGCGATAGTAGTTGGCGCCGAGAAGCCGAGGTTGGTCAATAACGTTGCGATGAAGAGAGTTGATCTGCTGGAAATAGCTAACGGCAAAACGAGAAAACCAGTAATGTGGGATTGGAGAGTCAAACGAGGTGGAGTGTGGCTATCTTAAACAATAGCAATTATTCTAATGCTCACGTGCTCGCGACACAGGCTGGGAGGGGGAGGGGGGGGGGGGGGGGGGGGGTGGGAACGTGGTTTGTTTTAAGCCACTGTACCGTCGGCCCCCGGTTTGAGTGTATGCCCGTTTTTAATGGCCATCGCTGCTTGCTCACCCTTCCTCGCCCGTTCTCCCTCGTTTTTAGCCGGTCTCTTCCACTTCTCAGCTACTGACAACCCCCGGCATCGGCTTTTTTTTAAAAGAGCATGAGATCAGGATGTTCTTATGACTTTCCCGACGCCTTCGTCCAGGGTACTGGATGATTTGTCTTCCCCTTCCATATTCTCCTACGATTTCCGACATGAACACGCAGTCACGAACACCTGTCCTCGCTAATAGTGGGGCATATAAGAGCCTTGAGGGACCGCTTGGGCTTTGTCATCGCGGTTCTAGCCTAAGGAGGTGCCGTCCTCTACTTCAACGAGTGGAGTGAGGAGAAACACTGGCCTAAGCCTGAAGATCACCGTTACGGTCGTCGAGAGGTCTGAATGACTAATAAGGTATGTGTCACCGGAGAGCCTCGAGTTCTATCTGATGGCAATCTAACACAGTACCCACTCCACATCCAAGATGTATACCAGGAGCAGACACCGTCAAACATGCCTTGATGCACGAGACAATGACGATGATTTTCCGCAATACACCACGATAGTAAATCAAAATGAGTTCGCGAGGGAAGGAAACGGAAAAGCGTGAGAAATTAACCAAAGCAAGAATACCAACCCATTGCAATCTGTTTGATTCCCTTTTCGAAGCTTGCCGCCACCGCCGATTGTATCGATATCAGCTCATACAAAATGTATGTATGAATCCTCCACCGCCGCCGGAAAGGGTTGAATGAAGTTGAGTGTCAGGTTTGACACTCTGATGACACTCTGATGTTTTCATGTTGATCTGTTTAACCAATTCCGTATCTTCGTCTTTAGTCGCCCGTTCGACATAGCCTACGCCTTCACCAACTTCAGTTGATGCATCGTCTGCGAGAAACGAGCGTGTGACTACAGTCACTCATTGGCAGAGTCACGTAAACCTTCATGACGGCACTTTCCGTGCAGATCCCTCTTGCCTCATCGAATTTGCGTTTGTCAAGTTTGGCTTGGGCATTAGGATAGACTTTTACAGCTGTGTTGTGGTGGAGGTACAGTTGATCTGGTCAGTGGTGTGGAGAGGGCATGCTAGAGGAAACGTCGAGCTGACTAACAGTACGAAGACACTTCATGGTAGATGGTGAAGTCTCACAAGTTTTCGCACGATGCTAGGGCATGCTTTTATATGCCATCAAACTGTCGAGCAGGGCAATAGCCTGGGCTTTCTCCAAATCCCATTGACCGTAGCTTGATATGCCTGCGCCAACGTTGTCATTCTGCTTTTCCCCCACCGAGTCGTCCAAGAACAGTAAATCACGAACCGGTGCGGACGTGAAAGTATCTATCATGTCGCGCACGTGATCTGGTGGGAGATGATTCGAGTTGCAAGCACCGAAGCAGCACATGCCTATCAACAAGCCAGCGTATGCATCCATGATACGGAAGGCGGGTGTATTGAAAAATGGCGAATGGGTATGAACATGAGTGTAAGTTTCCAAGAATTCGCGAACATTTTCGGCGGAGAAGTATAAGTTGAAACCGGCATATTCGTCGATTGTCGGGGTACCTAGAGGAAGGAGGAAGCTGAGGATCCGGTCGGACAGAAATGAAAAGGGGCTTTGGATCGATGGCGGTACGTTCCAGGTCGAGAGGAAAAAGGAAACACGGTGATTCGGGGGGGCAGGAGGTCTTTGTCGACTTTGAACGCCAGTAGTAGGGACCAGGTCGGTTGCGATCCGCGTCTGGGCAGGACGATTGGGAGCGAATTCGGCATGATCTAGACGGGCCCGTTGCGCAACAGCCTGGCGAATCTGAGTTCTATCAAGCTTTGATTGCTTTCCCGATCTGGGCTCGCCATTCGATAGCTTCTCATCTTGATCCAGACCCATGGTGGAGTTCTGCATCTTGCCAACTGGTCCAGAATCTTCAATGGCAGATTCTATAGAATCCTTTCCGTCTTGGGTACTGCCATCGCCAAGCCTTGTGAAGCTACCGGCGCACGACAACTGACTCTGATCTTTTGCAAGATGGTTCATCCTGTCCGGCACAGCCATCATACCAAAAGACTGAACCGTGCCATCCGCAAGCACGTTGTCCGGACCACTGAGGTGGTTCAGGCCGCCATCCTGACCAAGAGCTCCATTCTCCATACTAGACTCCTTCTCGACATGAGCTGCGGAGCGAGATAAGTGACTAGCACCAATCGAGTTACTCCGGCGACTGAGGCACTTCTGAGAGTGACACTTGAGTATATCACTTCTCGAGAAACTCCCGCCACATTTCACGTACCCGTATGGGCGCTCGCCCGTGTCTACAGATCAATTTTGTCAGTAAGGCAATGAGCTGCACGGGGTAGCGGGCTATCAATTACGGCGCAGGAGGTGACGCTTCAGATGCTTCGCGTGCAAGTAGGTCTTGATGCAGTGAGGGCAGGGGAACTTGCCGTCAGCATCTCTAGCCGGTATCACGGTGCTCTTGGTGTTGCCAGTGCTAGCAGGAGTAGCGGCAGGACGGCCAGGAGCGCTGGGGAGAATTTCACGGCGACCACAAGAGCCGACGACGTGTTGAGGCTGGTCGACACCATCCATGCCACCGGACATGACATCGCCAGCGCCGTGGGGATAAGTCATACCCGACCGAGGCTTGGCACCACTAGCAGGCATAGAATCCAGCACAGGAGAAACATGTCCAGATGTCGGGGCAGGCGCGATGGGCTGAGAGTGTGCAGAGCCCATCGTGGTCTGGGGCAGCATGGACTGAGTGCCGTGCGCCTGGGGTGGGGCAGGGCGCTGGCCCGTATGCTGGTACGGACCACGAGGCTGCTGCTGTTGAGGTTGGTACGGCAACATGGTAATCCGGGGGCCCGGCGTCTTAGGAGTCGCGGAAGTGCGAAGAGTGCGAGGGTTGCTGCCGTGCATCTGGTCCAGGGTGGTTATGGTCTGCGGCTGCAAAGGCGGCAGAGTCTGGTGAGGCAACGGAGAGTTGATGCGCTGAAGTTGGCGAGATATGATGGCGGGATGCGGCAGGTAAGAGACTGAGGTCGTGTTTCTATCACGGGCAAGGTACTGAGAAGCGTCCATGCTATTCGCGGCAGGCGTGTTGGATTTCTGTCGAGACAAAGGTGCGCAGAACAACTTCCCTCTCGCCTAATTTTTCTTGGCATCTGCTGTTAGTGAATGAGTGAGCCTACCACCAAATTACTAACAGCCGAAAACTCTTCACCTCCCCTTGCCGGAGCCCGCATCCGCGATGGCCTCACAGCCGCCGTCGGGCACCGGACTGATGTCGGCCGACCAAGCCGACCCCGAACCAGGCTCCGGGACACCTCCGGAGCCGAACCCCACCTCAAGAGCTAAGCGACGCCGCGACGTCGAGGCACAGCCGACCCGGCCCAGCCTAACGGGAAGCCAGCTTGATGCCACCACCGACGCCCCTACCTCGGCCGAGGGGCCCGCAGCCTCTACCGCATCTGCTCCGAGCGGATCTGCCACAGGGTCCGTCTTGACAGCCCTTGCAGAAGAAGCTAGACAGTACGAGGCACGGAAAGACGTCTTTCTGACCATTGCACGGTCCGTCGACAGCGTTGTCGCCAGCTTTGACGGTTCTAGAAAGCAGATCGCGAAAGAAGCCACTGCCTATGTCATTCAAACCCTCAAGAGACTGATCAATCACGAGACAAGCCCAATAGCGGCCCGGAGTTGGGCGGCTGTCGTCGCACCGATGGCGGGCAACACCACTGCGGCGACCCGGAGCGGCCAGAGCTGCCAGAGCTCTGCCCGCCCGAAGGCCACACTCCCCGCCGAGGATCAGCCGCAGGCGCAGCCGAAGGAGGACCTCCGCATCTTTGCCCGCGTCCCGGAAGAAAGCTTAGCGGCCGCTCGGAAGATCGCACCGTTCGCCGTACGACAGATCGTCTGTAAGGCCGTTGGCCTGGGGCTAGCGGACCTTCCCCACGTCTACCATATCAGCACAGGTTACTCTCTGAAGCCGCGAAACAAGCAAATACAGGAAAGACTACTTGCAAGTAAGGCAAAGCTGGCGGAATGCCTCGGCGCCCACCAGGTCGAGACGCCTATCAAGTGGTACACTTACGTTGTGCCGCGATGCCCAACAAAACTACACAGCATTGGCGGGGACGTCCTGGACCCAGCCACACTCGTTGAAGATGAGGTCTTCGCACAGACAGGACAGAAGCCTGTCCTTGCTCGACCGTCCCGCCTTGGGCCCAACCCAGTCACGAACGAAATATCTTGGCTCATATCATTCACATCAGAGGTCACGCCCTTCAGGCTCTTCAACCAAAGCGGCAGATCTCTGCCCGTCAAGAAACGAAGGACGCTCATCCGACACGACCCCGGCTGCCAGGGCTACCACTCCAACCGGTTCTGCGGACGACGACCGATCTGCAGCAACTGCGGAAGACCTTCCGATTCACACGAAACGGGACCCTGCATGGCCAGGCCCCAATGTGCCAACTGCTGCGGCCCCTTCCAAGCCAGCCACACAGACTGCCCAGCGAGGCCCTCGGCCGTAAACGGCGTCGTCTCCCTTCCCGGTCGAAAGGAGCGGGCTCGGATCCGGAAGGCCGGCCAGAAAGCATCGGACACTCTGTACAAGGCTACTCGATCCGACAGTAGCCAGGAGGCGGCAGGCGTCCCTACCTCCACCAGCCAGAACCAGCAACCCGGCGCCAAGCGCGCGCGCACGAGAACGCCCTCCGCAAGCTCGATCGTTTGCCTCGGTGACGGAAGCACTGACAGCAGCAGCATGGATGAAGACGAGGCGGACGAAGGCGAAGGCGAAGACTCCCCCGACAACACCTCCATCGACCGTCCCGTGCTACCCATGCCAAGCAGGAGCCAACGGGCAGCACAGAAGCCAAACTACAACGTCGCGAATGCCTACACCCACCTCGAACTCGACTCGGAGACGTAAGCCGAGAGCGGCGACCCCACGGATGCTACGCGTTGCGCAGGGCAACGTCGGAAAGATCTCCCCGGCGCACACGGCTTTCCTGCAGCTCTGCTGGGAGGCTCAGATAGATGTGGTCCTCGTCCAGGAACCCTGGACGGGCTGGAAGGACGGAAACGTGCAACTGAACACGCACCCGGGTTTCGACTCTTTCGTCCCGGTCGACTTCTGGGACAGCGAAGGAACCAGACCAAGAGTATTGACCTACACACGCAAAGGGATAGGGATGACGGTGGAGCAGCAGAGGCCTGTCCACACGAGAGACGTACTGTGGCTGGTGGTCGACAAAACGACGACTATCGTCAACGTGTACAGACAACCCCGCGACCCCCACAGCCGCACAACAGGGATACTGCTAGAACTCAAACCCCCGGAGCGAGCTTTGATCGCGGGTGACTTCAACGCGCATCACTACTCTTGGGAGCCCGGGACGAGGAACGGGAACCGGGGAGATGACATCGCAGGCTGGGCAGACGGCCACAATCTCTCTCTTATCAGCGAAGTTGGGGTGGCAACCCAGGATTGCGGACATGTCCTGGACCTGGCTTTCTCTAATATCCCTTTTGCGCACGCGCAGGTCAGCCCACAGCTACACCCGGGAGCTGACCACGAGGCCATCGTGGCCGTCATACCACTACTCAAACGCCCAGTGTCACAGGGAGAGGGCCACCCGCAGCCACGGCCACTGTCAGTGCCCGACTCGGCGCTGCCTCGGCTGAGAGACCTGATCGAAGGGGGGCTAGCTGCGATGCCCAATCTGGGGGATCAACCTACTCCGGAAGACCTGGACGGGCAGGCAAGTCACATCGTCGAGCTCTTCTCCCGAGCCATTGAGGCGGTCGGCAAGAAGAGAGGAAAACATGGTAAAGGCGCGGCTTGGTGGACGGAGGAATGCGCAGAGGCCCACAGAGCATACCGTGCTGCCCGCAACCAACAAGCCTGGGAGACGGAGCAAGATGCGCACCTTTATCTAATGGAGAAACGAAAGGCGTTCCTGAGCACGGTGAGGAAGGCTAAGCGAGCATACTGGGCCGGAAAGATCGATGGAGTCGCTTCAGACCGGGACCTGTACCAGATCATGGGTTGGCGGAAGGCGAGCCTACTGACCAGAGCACCCCCATTGGTTGTGGACAACCAGACGATCGAGGATACTAACGAAAAGGCTCAAGCGCTTCGGGGAGCCCTTCTCGACAGGTTTAGTGCGGAAGATGACGCACCGGGTGACCCGTTTGACGTACCCGTCGTCCCGAGGCGAGCGATTACTTGGCAGGACAATGTTAGCGGAGAAGAAGTGAAGACGGCCACCTTAACAAAGACAACGACCCCTGGTGTGGACGGCATCACAACACGCCTCCTCCAGGCATGCTGGGATGTCATCTCGGAACCGGTCAGGCAGCTATTCCAGTCCTGTATGCGGGCCGGCCACTTTCCTCTGCCCTTCCGCAGAGCTGAGGTGGTCATGATCCAGAAGGCCGGCAGGGATGCCTCCAAGCCCGGGTCCTGGCGGCCGATCGCGCTCCTCTCGTGCCTGGGCAAGGGACTAGAGCGACTGATAGCCAGAAGGATGGCGTCCTGGCGATTGTCGAGCGCATCATCAGTCCGCAACAGATCGGGGCTCTACAAGGCAGGTCAGCCGTCGATCTGACGACCTGCCTCACCCACGACATCGAGATGGCCCTCCTAAAAGGACTCACGGCGACACTTCTGACTATGGACGTAAAAGGGGCGTTCGACTCCGTCCTTCGGAACCGGCTCGTCATTAGACTGCGTCAGCAGGGATGGCCACATGGCCTGACCAGACTGATCTTTAGCTTCTGCTGCAACCGCACCGCTAGAGTCCGACTGGAAGAAAGCACAACGGAGTACTTCCCGCTGTCATGCGGGCTGCCTCAGGGGTCACCACTATCTCCCATTGCCTTTCTGCTCTACATCGCAGAGATACTTGAAGACGACCCGAACGCGCGATTCGGGTACGCGGACGACATCGCCACTCTGGCCATCAGCCCCTCCCTGGAGAGCAACGTCGCAATACTCAACCGAAGCGCAGCCGGCATTCTCAGATGGGGCTTGGAGAACAAGGTCTCCTTTGACCCGAGCAAGTGCGAGGTCATCCACTTTACTAGGAAGCACGGCCAGCCAGCGGAGCTGCCAGAGGTCCGGGCGGGGGATTTGGTGGTCAAGGCCTCGACGAAACCTGTACGCTGGCTGGGTGTCTGGTTCGACAAGAGACTGTCCTTCCGGCACCATGTCGACGCAAAAGTAGCTGCAGCAAAGAGGGCAGCTCAACATCTGAGACAGCTTACGAACACAAAGAGGGGACTCCCAGCGGCCGCCGTGCGAAAAGCCGTCGTCTCCTGCGTACTGCCGATCGCGCTCTTCGGCGCCGAAACATGGTACGCAGGTATCACGAAGCCGGCTTCGAGACGCCAAGCGGAGACAGACACGAATCCGCCTCTCCAAGGAAGACCCGTCAACACAGGCCAAAAGGGGCTCGTGCAGAAGATCGACAGCGTCATTACAGCGGCAGCAAGGGCCGTTCTGCCTGTCTGGAGGACAACGCCAACCAGTAGCCTCCTCCGAGACGCCGGCTTACCGTCAGCCAAAGTCGCCTTAGAGGGCGTCCGCTTACGGGCCGCAGTCCGACTACAGAGGATTGATCGCCGACACCCGCTAGTCGCGCGGCTCTCCCAGCAGGGACAGCAACAGACGAGACTACAACGGACGGCTGAACTTCTGCCAAGATGCGGAAGACCAGCGTTCCTTCAATCACAGTACCTGCCAAGCTCACAGGATCAGATAGTAGTTCAATGCAAAGAAGAGGCTGCGAAAGCTTTCGAGCGCTGGCTAAAGACAGTACCGGAAAGCCATATGATCGTCTTCTCGGACGGCTCCAGGGCGACGAACGGAGCCGTGGGGTACGGCTTCGTCATCTACCGAGACTCCAAACGCATAGCACAAGGGTGCGGCCGACTCGGACTAGCAGAAGTGTTCGACGCCGAGGTCGAAGGGGCGCGAACCGGCCTCAGAAGGGCTCTGCTCACCAATCGCGGTCATCCAATCCACATATGTATCGACAACACCAGCGTTATACAAGGCATCCGCGGCAAGG